GTGAGCAGTCCTGTATCAAGGTGATGGCTCAGATGACATGCGAGGTTCGAGGAAAGCAACAGCATTACCAGTGTTGATAGTATACAGCACCAAGCGGTCTATCAACGTGTCAGTGCTCCAATGATGTCAGCACATGCGGCAGTCCAGATGGAAGTCAAACGTACTGCCTATATCCGGTTCGGCTTTGTCTGAGCGTGATGGTGAGGACGCTAGTGGTCAGAGCATCGGCGGCAACGGCTGCTGCGCATGCAGCGGAGTCCATCCACTAATCATACCTTCAGCAAAGCGGAAGCGAGAGGATAGCCCCAATGCTCACGTAGTAATGCTCGTATTGTGTGAAAATATGGAGTTTGAAGCTGCGTAATGACTGGATCAGCGGATAGGCGCAAGGCGCAGAGGGAACAGCGACAGACGCTACTACTGTTCCGGCTGAAAGGGACGTCCCCAAACATTTCCCTCTGTAAGCGTGTCTGAATTGCTGTGATACGAGCACCTACCAATCGAGAATCCTGTAATCCCTTATGAGATTGCTGATACACCTCTCTTTCCTGGAAAATGACTCACCGAAAGTTACGAAGGTGAGTAGTAGCTGTAAGGGGTCAACACAGGCAATCGTACGGATTGTCAAAAAACATACTGAGATCACCACTAGAAATCTATACTTTTCACTGACTGCGCGAATTCAATATAGGATTCAGTGGTTAAGACGGATTGCGAGGGCTTACTGATATAAACACGCCTCGCGAAGAATCTGTCATATACCCACTTATTAAGCGCAACAAACGAGGTCTACTGGTTGAGCAACATACGACTGGGACACTAAAACAGCAAGCCCCTGTACCTCGGGGAGACGAGTATGTAACCCGTCCATTCTATGATGTATCGGTGGTACTCACCGCCAACAAGGGCTGGCACTGGAAATGGTTAGCGCCAGGTTGGTATTTGCAGGCTCTAAAATGTAAACTCACTTGGATTGACCTGCAGGTATGCGACCAACGTGAACCAGAGGCGGAGGAAAAGAGACATACAAGAGGCGCACCATATGCCATACAACAACGCCAAAGGATCGGAATAGCTGGAAACTAGGTACACGTAGCTGGTGATATGGCGCCGCATTAACTTGAGCTTATCGAATGGAGGAGGCAAAGCACACACCAGGAGTGGATACAGGCGATACAGTGGGCTGTGTCTATGACGCTAGTGGAGGAAGGTTCACATACAATAACTGGAGTGTTGGGTACCGCAGAAGACTGACATCAGACTGAGCACCTGTTCAAAACATGCGGTACTCAGACGGGAGTTATGATGTTCCAAGCGAAGAGAACTACGTGCAGTAAGCTTGTTCACAAGGTGATCATCCTTGTACATCTGGATATAGCGATAGGCCTGGTGGACAACCACGCCGTAAAGGCTGGCGATGTTGGAGTTCGTGAGCTCCACGGGTTTCCAACGAACCGATAAGCCACTCACAGAAGACCGACGAATGACCCTAGCAGCAGAGCTCCATATGTCTCGTCCAGTGTCGGGAGGTGCAGCAGCTGTGCAAGGGGTGTCGTTGCATCCGAGTTAGCCGTTAGCATATCTGGGAGGGATAAAGAAGGCATGATGGGGGAAGACGAGGGTCCGAATGTGTACATTCTCATATGAAGGCTCGATGCTGGTGGACCGGTCCCAGGACCCCGCATGCTTCGCGCATAGAGTCGGCAACAATGCACGACACAAGCGAAGCATGGAAGGGAATGATGACACATATGTCGCGGAAGACGATGTCTCGCCTGCATAGGTCTGCTTAGGATTGCGATGGAATCAACAGGTGCCGATTTCTGGACCACATCTCGGAGATCGACGCCAGACAGCACTGCCAAATTCGTCAGGATGAGCCTGCTCGTTGGGGTTCGCGAACATCCTAGAGGACACGAAGGATACCGGAAGGACAGCGAAGGTCTTTCATCATGATGTGCTGACCAAACTGTCACTTGTATCTGGGAAGGATATACGCGACACTGAGCAATCGTAACGTGCACATGTCGAGCGGGGCCCGTCACGTAGTCGGAGGCTTCGTCCTTAGCTAGATAAGGGTGTTCCTGATTGACTGTAATAGCGCGCCGCGTTACCGCGTGAGAATGACATTGGACTAAACGGAACACATATCCGATGTCAAGTGCGGTGTAGCTGTCTCTATTGACACGTTCCTCAGACGTCAAAGACTCCGTGAATTGTCTGAGCATACCTTGTAGCGCTGACCGGCATCTCCGACGATTGCTTCATGCCCGGCAACCCCGGCTTCCGGTGAGACGAGGGGTTGCGTGGCAGACGAACGTGAACGGTGGAAACATCCGATTGAAGGGCATATGAGATACTAGAACCGATATACAACTCACATCTACCATCCGCGAAACTCGAGTGCCTCGCATCTAGTATCCGGCTGCACCAGGCGCCGCATCCCCCTCCCGCTTCAACCGGAGCAAAACCTCTCTGAAACGCGTCAAATCAGTCGCGCCGGGCCCAGTGCGAGCGATGGTCTTGCTCTGGGAGTTTTGCAGCTCTATGATGTCGCAAATGCGCTGCCAGGTGGTGCCCTGGGAGAGCGAGGCGGACATGTCCGCGAGGAACTGCTCTTCGTGCTCCCTATACTCACGCGGTCAATAGAAGAGAACGCATAGGCGAGAATGAGGATTGAGTACACACTTGTTCTCTCGGATGTTGCGCTCCTTCTTCGCAGCGTACTCCTCGTAGAATTGGTCGATCGCGCGCTCCGCCTTGCCAATGGTTTCCTGCCTCTTTGCTTGTGAAGCCTCGTCGCGGGCCTTGATCTCAGCAGCCTGCCTCTCGCGCCATTGCCTGCAGCGGTTGTCAATTGACAGTCAGCGAAAGGAATGGACGGGCACGTACTTGATGACTTCAGGTTCCTCCTCCTCCAATGCTTGGTTCAAGATAGGTGTCGAAGAGTATGCAGGTTGCGGAGCGAAGGTAGGGGTCTGGCCGAAGGAAGGCTGCTGCCTTGGGGGCTCGGGTGCCTGGTGAATTCATAAGCGAAAAGTGAAAGATGGGAATACTGGGCACTAGACACCTGCGGAACCTCGATATCCGGGAACTCGCTCTCGAACTTCTCGATTTCGTCGTCCCCTGTGACCTTTACCTCCGTGGTACGCGGCGGCGGGGGGCTACTGAAATCATCAAACGAGAACGTTCCAGCATTACTGGAGAGTGGTGCAGCGGGTGGTGGTACAGAGAAGTCCCCAGTGCCATCGAGAGATATTTCAGGGAATGCAGAGGCAGCGCGGTCGAAGTCGAAGTCGCCGCCAGCAGTTGCGTAGGTTCCCCCAGTCGGTGTGCCAAACTCCTCGCCAAGAACCTCGCTCTCTCGGTCCAGGAAGTCGCTCATGGTGGTGGTGGTGGTCGGCGGCGTTGTCGTAGCGAAGTAGGGCGCCGTCGCTCGCGTGTGGGGAGCCAAATACATGTAAATAAAGGCGGTGTCGCGCACGATGGCGGCGGCGGCGGGCAACCTCTGGGCTCGACCCCGACTCTGTATCGCTCACCTTCGCCCTACTTAGACTCGGTCAAACTTACACGAAATCCAACCAAGAGTGCCAGATGTACTGCAATGTAATCATCGGCTGGCTGATCGACACTCTTGTTGCTTCTGTGCTCGGCGCCCCTGATGATGAGCGTGTTACTGTTGCAAGCATCTCGAGCTTCTGGGCTGTATTTCCTGACGGCGCGTCGTCGTGCTTGGTATGACAGCGCAAGCGTGGTCAACGCTTGAGACGGAGGCGGCAGCATAGGGTGTGCTGTTCAATTATTGTGCGCCTGCTATTGTTCTCCGCCTCTACCTTTGCCGGCTCTCAGCCCGACATAAGGCTTATAGGATAGTATGAAAGCCCATGTCCCGTCCATCCTTCCTCCTTGCAACGTTCACGACCACTCATGAGCCCGCCGATGTCTCCCTACGATCCCAAATACACCTGGGATCGCAACCCTTCTCGCCAGGCCCCTCTTGCTGTCACTGTGCCACCTCCAGACTACCCCGTCGAGACCTCTCATTTCTCTCCAGAATCTCACCGTTCGTCTAAGCTCTCGCGCGCCCTGCACACGCGCTCTCGCTCAGATTGGACGAACACCCTTACCCTCAAGTCGTTCACGAACGATCCCGAACTCGGGAAGACACAACCTCCCCAGACGCCGCGCACCCGCGATCGCCTCACGAAGTTCCTCTTTGATCTACGCATGCCGTCACGAAATGCACGGCAGGAGTGGCTGCCTATGCAGGAGCCTCCGCTACAGCCATGGCCGCCTCTGGAGGTCGAGAAACACCGTCACGGTTTCTGCGACGAGTGCCAGGAGCGCAATGATCGGCGAAGGCGTAACAGGGCGGTCCTCTTCGCGCTCGTCATTCTGCTGCTCTACCTTCTGGGGAACGTCATCTTCCTGAATGTCCGTGTTGTGCGCCTCTCACAGCCTCTTGCCACATCCGCTACCTCTCCCGCCGCGACTACCACAGCAAGTCCTTCAGAGTCCACTGCGCTCTCAGCGGACGCACAGTCCTGCTTGTCTCAGTTCGCCTTGAATGCGCCTGCGAATCCTCAGTCGTACCCCTGCTCCACATGCCTCTCTGTCCTGCAGAACATCCCTTCGAACGTCACTTCCGCCAGTGCACAGGATGCTCAGCAGGCTCTCAGCGCAGTGCAGTTTTGTGGCCTCCGGAGTATCTTTGAGACTGCCGACAGCGAGGGACAAACTGGCTTGTCGAACGGTGGATGGGTAAAGGACATTCGCTTCTGCGCGTGGTCAGGAGTGCAGTGCGATGGGTTCGGGCGCGTGTCAAGCATGTGCGTCTTCGCACCTCGTGGATGCGATCGCTTATTGACATTGTTTCTTTACAGACAATTGTCTTTCCCGGGCGTTCCTGCAAAGATCCCCGACGAGGTCACCGCGTTGACGGGTCTTACCAGCTTACAAATCGTTGGCGACACAAACGTCCCTGGTACGTATGGTATCATTTGGTCTCTTACCCATCTGACCGTTTCATTCAGCTGGAGATCTTCCTGCATCGTTCGGCTCGCTGACGGCACTCACCAACCTTCACTTGGAGTCTACCGCGATCAATGCTCTGCCTTCCGCAATGCTCAATTCGCTGAACATGCTGAAAACGCTGGTTTTGGTGAAGAATGGCAATATGACCGGCGACATGACACCCGGAATCGCGTCTGTTGCTCTCGTCAATCTGTACGTCGTCCTTACTTCTTACCCCAACCTCGGCTTGCTGATATGGTCGCAGTGTCATCAACAACCAACCTCTATCAACGGACCCCATCTCTGCATTGCTCGCTAGTTCATTCACAAGTTCAAAGCTCCAGACACTGTACGTCCGCAGCTATCTTCCTTCTTTCGCATTCCTCATCATCTCTATAGTGATCTCTCCTCTACCTCCCTCAGCGGCAGCCTCCCTTCTGACCTCTCCGCCTTCACGTCCCTCGTTGAGCTCCACCTCGACAACAATTCCCTGACGAACCCGCTTCCCGCCAGGTTTCCTGACACCCTGCAGGCGCTGACGCTGACGAACAACTCGCAGCTCGAAGGCGCCGTCGCGTCGGGCACGTCATTGTGCGGCCTGGCGCAGCTGAAGACGTGCGACGTGCGCGGGACGGGGCTTAGCGCTCAGGACGGCTGTGGCGTTTGCCAGTTCTCGTAGTGCGTGCGGGACACGCACCACTCGGTGCTCGATTGTTCTTCTCGTGAGCTTGTGGACATCCTCCCTCAGTCATTACTATCGTCATATGATCACGTTCTGCTTCCGACGGAGCCACTGTGTGGCGGACGTTACTATGGACGACTGCGCGCCTCATCACGCTACCTGCATTCACATATGTATCCCTACTCAGTGTTTTCTTTCACAACATGGTCCATATATCATGACAGTCACGACGCTCCTTACGCTTTTGATTCACACCTTGGTTCACGCATGTCTCCTCTCCAAGTAGTGCTTCCGTAATACGATTACTGTAGATCCACTGTAGCAAAAGCCATTCTGCACGCACCTAGAATAGTATACTATACCATATACTCCGACTCTGATTGTAGTATTCAGTATTCCCTTAGGTTTGGATCTATCAGGTAAGTATTGTCGTTCATGTTGACGGTTGTTTGTACATCCGGTCGGGTCGCCGACATTTTTTCAAGTTTTACAACGCTTATCTTAATTGACAACGAGCCCCTCGCCTTGCTCGAGATCGCGTCCGTTGCAGAACAAGATACTATCGCGACCCCAGTGTTCGGACAAAAAGGCGCCCGCTGCGAAAACCCTTCGTTTTATGTACTTTCCTGAACTCCGATAATGCTCAATTTTGGCATGCAAAAGGAGATGCATATGCATAGACTACGTGCCAAACATAAGACATATTGAAGGAGACACGAGCAATGGAGACAGGATATACAGGGCCTGACCCCAGTGTTCGGACAATTCTCCGCACAGCAGGTCACGATCTGTCACGCTTGCCGACACCTGCCGGTCTTCGGGGAATCCCCGTTCTCCAGCTTGATGAGCCTTAGCCGAGCATCCCGAGCAAGTCGGAGAGTCAAACTGTGGCTGCATTGTCACGCCCTTGAGGGCTGCTTCTTGTTTCTCCTCTGTGTTCCCCTGAGCAGGCCTCGGAAAATTGGGTAGTGAGTAATATGCGTAGGTAGAAATACGTACACGAAATTTGTATGGAAGCGCCCGAAGAGGGATACGAAGCGAGACT